TAACTTTTCACCTATTGCTTCTGCAATCGTTGCGAAGGCCGCGTATATAAGATAATTAAATTCGGTCAGGTTCATCAGTCTTTCCATTTCGTCCTTTGTTTTTCTAATTGCTTTGTTATCGAGGTTGATGATTTCCTTCACTTGACGGTTCTTTCTTACATTTGGAATTGTCGGTCTTTCCTCGAAAGACATTTCCTTTACATTCTCCCATTTATATCTGATATTTTTAGTCTTCTCTGTTTCTCTCTCATATTCGTATTTATCTTCTTCTATTTTCTTATGTACCTCATAGGGATTATTAGAAATGGTTTCTATTTGTTTCTCTGCATGGGTCTCTTCTGAATTGTCATTTAGCCCCTCTGTGTTAAAGTTTAATGTATTTTTGATGTTTTCTCTGATGCTTTCTAGTTCTATGTCACGTATTCTTTTTTCCTGGTGATGTCATGTCTGACATTGGCTATTTGTTGATACGAATGTTTAGTCTATTTGAGGAGTATTTTTCTCGTCAGATATTATAAGCGGCCTTGGTCGTTGTTGACGTTGTCGGATTTATCGTAGCAGTGTAAAATGCTATAATTACTTCAATATACTCTTCCCTACACCATTTATTTATTGTTCTTTTTCTAGAATTTTCTTTTAATGAATAGAGAGGGCCTCTTTAAGGACTCTACTCGGCGTGATTTTTCTCCATTTCTTGCTGGGCAGTGATTGTTCCAGCTGCAGACTTTCGATACCAGTCGGATTACTCACTGGGGAACGCGGTTCTTGTTGACCCGCGTGACGACCGATGCGGTTTAGCAATATTTTTCGCTGTGTCAGCATTATAGTTAGTTCGTATTTACCCATACATAGGGGCTGCCTCGTAGGCGCCAGAGCATATCCATATGGTGGACCATCACGCCCAGGAGGGCAAGGACTCCTTCTGTTATTTCTTTTGCTTTTTTTTTTATACTATTAATATTATTATGAACAATAACAGTAAAATCTTCATTTATAAGCGTTTGGATCCCAAGTAGATATTATTATTATTATTATTATTATAATATATATAATAATAATTATTAAAATTATTATATAATAATAATAATAATAAAATTATAATAATAACAATAATGATAATAACGAAAATAATAATAATAATAATTATTATTATTACATTATAATAATAATAATAATAATAATAATAATAATAATAATAATGATTATTATTATTATTTTTATTTTCTTTGATTTCTGGCGTTTACATTTTCTTTCCGGGTCCCGCCCAGGGACCTAAGGTTAGAAATGGCGTCATGACACTTTCCACTGACAAAAAAAAAAAAAAAAAAAAAATGATTACATAGATAAAGCCCTTCGTGAGGTGTGGGCTGTACTTGTCAGAACAATTTTCTGTATCTCCTTGAGGCATGGACTTCCAGGAATCCCTTCAATTAGTCTATTGGAATCTTTTCCAACCAGTCCTAGGGCTCCAACTACAACAGGGATTATTGATGTTCCCATATGCCACATTTTCGCGATTTCTATTTCAAGGTCCTTGTACTTTGACAACTTTTTGAATATCTTTAAAGATACATTGCAGTCAGCAGGGACTGCCATATCAACAAGGAGGTACCGTTTTTGTTTGTGGTCTTTAATAACAATATCTGGGCGGTTGGCCTTGATTGTTCTGTCAGTGTGTATTGTGTAGTCCCATATAATTGTAACAGGTCCTATCTCCGTAACCGGGTCTGGGTGGTGTTCATACCAGTTTCTTTCAGTTTTCTTCCCGTAGAAGTTGCAGATTTTCCAGTGCAGATATTGGCCCACTCTGTCATGTCGGGTTTTATATTCAGTGGGTGCCAACACCGTACAACCTGCTACAAGATGATCAATCGTTTCTGGATATTTATCACAGAATCTGCATTTTGGGCTGACACAATATTTTATTATATGTGCTTGATAATTCCTAGTTAGCAAGCATTGGTCCTGCGCAGCAAGGATAAAACCTTCAGTTTCCGCTTTCAACCCTGCACTACGAAGATTTTGAATTATTCCATAGAGACCATTTTGAAGATTATTTGCAGTACCAAACAACACAGAAACCACGGGACACGAAGCTTTATTCTGATTTTCTCGATGCAGGACTTCATAAGATCGGAATATAGCACTTTGAAAGTCACATTTTGGCAGCTTAAACGATTAAACATTTAATTTTTTCTTGGTCAACGACGGTGATATCTGGTTTATTGTCCTTAAGGCCGCTGTTTGCTTGACTTGCTCGCTCTCGACCACATTATTATTATTATTATTATTATTTATTTATTATTATTATACAGGCATTTAAAGCACTATTTACATTATTCGGACTATCACCCTCATCTTTGTTGCCCTATTTATCACAACGTTTCAGCCGTTGTACGCCCAGGCCTTCTTCAGGTGGTTGGAATGTCGAAGTGAACCCTTTCGACTGTTCTAGTTCCACGTGCCATGTCTAATGGATGTCAGTTATCTCCTGTTAATTCTCCCCTGTTCAAGTTCTCCTCCGCTTTAACCAGGTATTGAACTCACACTCTTTGGGCCCTGTCACTGGATCTAAGTAACGCCTTTATCCTGTGCCATGTGTCCTTGAGGACATCTGTGCATTAATTTCTGGGTATTATAAACCCAATGTCTTCAGCAACCATTTTTCAGCCCTGCGCTCAAAGGGTTAAGGAACGAGAACAATAGAAAAGTAATCAGGAAGACAGTAGATAACGATTGGCATAGCATTTAAGTTTTTGAAGATCAAAGTTGGCTGGAAAGCATCAAGTCGGAAGATAGTACAGAAATGCATCTAGCCATATATGGTCTGCTGCTCGTGATGTATATCTCGAGATTCTTGACAAAATTCAATGAAGGATCTGTAATTTAATCAATCCTGGCCAGTCACTTTCTGATTGTCGCTACGTTCTGTCTTTTTCTACAAATATCTTTATGGCAACTTCTCTGACGACATTTTCCCCCATGTACCCCGACTACAAGAATTTAAGCGTGCTGCTAGATTGGCGTATAGGTCCCACACTTTTAATGTTGAAATAGCTAAATGAAACCGCCACTTCTACTCTAATTCGTACTTCAAATCTGTGGAACTCCCTTCAGATTTCTTGCCTCCCTGATAACTACAATCTTCAAAACCAATTTTTACCAAGGAACCAGTAAACACTTAAAAATATACGGCAGATAAACTTATGGCCAGAATATATATATATATATATATATATATATATATATATATATATATATATATATATATATATAATCACGAAAAAAACCTTAAATATTCATTTTGGTTATAATTTATTTCGTGAGTATGGAAATATTCACTTTTCAGACCAAAGTCTCTTAGTAAATGGTGACATTACACCGGACGGATATATATAACAAAATCAACGCTCTATACTATTCTTATAAATAAAGAGACGATCATGTCTTTCCTTTCCTTTTTCCAGACAATAACATCTTTCCTTCCCCTTCCACTTACGCCATCAACTCTCCTACTTACAGGTACGGTAAAATTAACGTGTCCGTCTATATTTTATCTGTTTAGTATTATTTTTTTTTAGTTTTTTTTATTAAATTTAATAATTTTCATTAGTTTTGTGTATAAACTTGAGCACAATGTATTGTTGTAAAGGTTTAAATAAGCAATCATCTTGGGACCAGGAACGGATTAATCCATTTTACAGAGATTTCTATTGGAAAAATACTTTCGGTTAATGACCATTTCGAGTTGCGAACGGGTTTCAGGAACGAATTCAGTTCGTGAACCGAGGTTCCACTCTATTTGAAATTGCAGTAGACTGGCTCTTAATTTCAGTCAAGATTGATTTATGTGTTGCCGTAGAAGGATACGACGACACATCCAAGAAATTCAAATTCAACTTGCTTTGGCAGGACTGACATTATACTTGGCGAAAATAGTCCCCTACAGAGTGCTTTAATAACGATTTCGGTAACCAAAATTGTGGCCGAGTGATTAGAACTATATCATTTCCACACAAAACCCATGTTCGAATCTCACCGATTTGTCAAGGAGAGGATCTCGGTGTATAGCGTAGTAGGAGAGTATTGGAGAGCCACACAGTGTGTCAGCCAATTCCTTGGTGTAATACTCTCGTAACCGAGAGTTTAAAGGAACTATACTTGATTCCGCCAGATTATACGCCCTCTCCCAGGAAGCTTCATCCTAGGAGACGAGAATACTACAGTTGGCGCTCAAATTAGATTTTAATTCTACAACAATAATTTTACTAATATAAACCCTAGTTCTAAGGTAAGATTGTATCAAAATCAAATGTACCAGATGGTTAAAAACAATGGAATCAAAATAAAATATAACCAGTTCGGTAAATTTACATCTTTAACCTCGTAAGCCAATTGTAATGAAAATTGTCATTCTGGTGTGGAATTGCCTGATTAATTCCAAAATAACAATAAAAGTTTGCGGAAGAAAATCGTTTAGGAGTTATCAACAATATAAGTTCGGACTTATTCGCATCTATCCCGCCTGCCATTATAGGCGTTGTTTACATACGTTTGCCTCGAGAAGTAATACGCGGAAGCTTACTTAGTTAACGGTCTTTTTACTGATCTTCTTACCTTCTCACTCGATTACTACGCGTTTAACGAAATTGTTCGCACATTGTGCAGTAACCAAGACAAGTGAAGCTTCCGCGCATTACTACTCGAGGCAAACATATGTAAGCAAAGCCAGTAATGGCGGCCGGGCTGTAACCGTGATGCGAATGAGGCCGAACATATATTGTCGATAACTCCTAAACAGTTTTCTTCCACAAATTTTTATTGTTATTTTCGAAATTAGTATGTAAATTTACACCAGAATGGAATTTTTTTTATTACACTTGGTAATCTACAAATTTACCACAAGTTCTTCTATCTTCGGGATATTGACGATTATGACTCTCCACAATTTCCGCTCCTTTGTAGTTCTTAATAACTTCTGTCTTTTTGTCACCTCTCTCAAACCCTTCCCAAGCGGGCACCCATCTAGTTACTGACCAGGCTCGACGTTGGTTAACTTCTGTGATCGTACGGGAACCAATGTTTCAACGTGATGTGGCCATAAGCCCTTGATAAGATTGTGTCCGCCAATAATGAATACCGGTAGTACTTCTATTTCTCTCAAAATCAGAAATTGGATCAGGGATCTTTCCTCCTTAGTGCACACTGTTAACGGAGAGGCCATGTCTACACTGTAACAGCTGCAAGAAAACTGATGCGATCAAGCTCAAACACGTGATCATAATAGTACCAACTATAGATACCAGGCAGTGTGACAAACCTAAAGACATGTTACGGCGAAAGTGCGGATAATTTTTGATTAACCCTTGTATATATATATATATATATATATATATATATATATATATATATATATATATATTGAAAAATTAATTCAATTGAGCTCTCTGGGGAAGAAGTGAGTTTGCAAACAGTGACTATTACTGCTACTAATGCAATACACTTTGATAAAACGAATCGAGTTCTCTCAGTCGCTGGCATGTTTATCTAAAAGTAAATACGCCTAAATTCGCCTTCATTCCTGCCATGTGCCAGCGGCTTAGGGGTGGATTCTCCGACTGAAGCCAATTCAGCCGGTTTTCAATCCTGGCTAGAGGCAACCGGACGTCTATCCACACTGATGAGCTGCGATACAGCGAACCAGTCTGTCAGTGGATGACAATATATATATATATATATATATATATATATATATATATATATGCTCGGTACTTATTGGAAAGTGCTCAATATCATAACGTTTGTCTGATGATTGAAAAAGCGTGTAACCCAGGATCACAAACTCATATCCATACAAATGAATATATATATATATATATATATATATATATATATATATATATATATATATATATATATTATATATATTTTTTATATTTTTTTGACCTCCCGATTTTTAAAGTTTGTATGTGTGTGTGTATATATATATATATATATATATATATATATATATATATATATATGTGTGTGTGTGTGTGTGTGGAGTAGTGGAATTGGAGAGCCGAGTCAAATTCCAGTCCATTACATTCACTTGCGTGCTAATAATACCCTTGGGAAAGTTGTTAATCCTCTTCTCCCTTCGGCTATGGATAAATAGCCTGACAGACTGGGCTCTATAGCCATGGGTTGCAACTGGTCTTGTAGAAGGACAACTCTAAATTCAAAACCTGCGGAAGGGACCTTGTGGCACGTAGTGCACCAGGTCCCTGTATTCGGCCCTTCAAAACGTGTGGTTGTTTCTATAAAAAGCCTTCACAACTATAATCAAAATCATATGTGCTGGTGTCGGGCTGTTGGTTCCTAGGAACTTAGCTGCTTGACCCTCATACGTCAAATGTGATGAGAGTCCACCAAATATATATATATATATATATATATGTGTGTGTGTGTGTGTGTGTGTGCAAAAGTAGGTATACAGTAATGCATTCCTACAGCAATGAAAAACGAATATTATTTATTATACAAACATATCAATACTGGTATAATACTTACCCCCCAATATGTATGAGTAAACTCAAAGCCTAATAATTAAAGAAACGAATTTATTATAGTAATTTTCTAAGCTTAACTTAGATGTGGCACAAGGCCGAAAGTATGGAGCACCAAGTGGGGCTCGAACTCACTCGTAATTGTTCTAGCAAAATATGTATGCTAACCTTGACATCACATCGAAGTGTTCAGAAACGCATTTTTTATGAACAGTAAATATTTGGCTTAGTACAATCCCCTTCCTTGTCAATGCACTTAATCGAAAGCTTCTCTATCAATTATATTGATGAAACATTATACAGTGTAACCCGGATATAAGAGAGTTGTCTGGACCGGAGAAGAAGTCTCTTATATCCGGGTTTCTCTTATATCCGAGTTTCTCTTATATCCGGGTTGGGTCTATTTTGTTTAGGTAAGTATGGGAACACTTTGGGACCAGAGAAAATCTCTCTTATATCCGGGTTTCTCTTATATCCGGGTCTCTTATATCCGGGTTACATTGTATAGTGAAAATTTTAGATCTTAGTTCAGGTAAGTATGAATCATGCTACGGCCTTATTGATGAGAGAGAGAGATAGAGTAAGAGAGAAATAGATAGAGAGAGAGATAGAGAGAGAGATAGAGTGAGAGAGAGAAAGAGAGAGAGATAGAGTGAGAGAGAGAAAGAGAGAGAGATAGAGTGAGAAAGAAAGAGAGAGAGATAGAGTAAGAGAGGAAGAGAGAGAAAGAGAGAGAAAGAGAGGGAGAGATAGAGTGAGAGAGTGATAGAGAGTGAGGGGGGATTGACGTGTTTAACGCCTGTTTTACCTAATTCCAGTTCAGCTGGAATGGTTGCGTTGGTATCCCTTAAGAAATCTCAGAAAACAAATATAAAATAACGTGTATCGATAACCAATAAAAAGGATCAATCAGTGACATATTTCAAGCAAGATCGAATTTTTTTTATTGATAGACTTTTTTTTTTTATAAGACGAAAAACCTCGATTTGATCAGTAAGATAGATTTTTTTCCCAATTTTATTTTCAGCAAGAATGGAAAATCGATCACCACCTCCGCCTCCACACCGATGTACATTTGTTAACGTTTCAAGGCCTGGTCCCACTCCTTCAGCTGTTTTCATGCGAAACTTCTTTACTGAAATAGTTTGGCCGGGATTCTGTTACCATTATCTTGAAGATTCCTTGTTGCTTGTATTTTTAAATCGAATTTACCTTAAGCAAGGCAAAATGGTAACAAAAACCTGGCCAAACTATTTGAGTCAAGAAGCTTCTCACAAAAACATTAAGAGGTCAGCTACGATGAAAGCTGATTCGTGTTAGACAATCTTATTACGCTTAAATTCAAAAAGTTTAGGTCTCATAGCGAAGAGCAATATTTATTTGTCAGTTATGTGCCATGCTTGATACGCGCTTAGGCGATCATGTAACTTTCGATACATGACTGACAAGGCAGGTTTTTTCCCGTAGTAGGTCGCCATTTCTTTCTGGAGTAGACCTGTTGGCATCCAAGGTCTTGCCCTGCTATTTGCCCATAGCTAGGGTGGAAAGAAGAAGAGGATTCATAACTTTCCCAAGGGTATTAGGACGTAAGTGAATGTAATGGATTCGACTGGAATTCGAATTCGGCTCTCCGATTGCTCAATCCGAGCTGCTATTCATTACTCCACCTTGCCTCCCTACAAAATGTGGCACAAGGCCAAAATGTAGAATTGGGAAAACGACAATGTTCTGTCTTTTAGGTAGCCACAAACACTGACCCAAATAAACAATATTCCTTACACCAAAAAAACGCATTCTTACTTAACTTTCTTACTACATTCACCATAATACCGCATTGTCTCTACGAAAATCCTAACTAGTCCCCATATGTACAATTCATTGTCTGTGGCGGGGTGGGGGGGAATAAAACAACAATTTAAAAACTAGCCACGATTAGTATTTACAATATGAATACAATTAATCCATACTAATTATCAATTAATATTATATATATATATATATATATATATATATATATGTGTGAAAATATATAGAAAATAGGAAGGAACTGGTTAGGTAAATAATCCAAAGTTCCTTAGTATTTTAGTTATTATTTTTAAAAAATAGTGCTCGATACAAAAGTAGAGCATAAATATAATTATTTATTTAAAAATATGATTCCAACTCGCGACATAAGAGGTCTCATGTTTCAAAACAAGAGCCGAAAACTCTGATATAATTATTTGAATTAAATTGAGTTAAAGTAAGCTCTGATCCATCTTCAAGCGAAATTTTTTTTGGAATAACGTATTCCTGAAATTTACGTGTTTTAATAATTGAAATCAAAATTTCCATGGTAACAGCTAGGGCGAATTGTTTAAATTGGGTAGGCGTGTGTTGGATGTTAATAATAAGTATCAGTATAGAGTTACTTTCATAGATGTCAAGTCAGGGAAAGGTGGGGATGTCTAAATTTGAAACGGAAGATGTATTAACCCTAGTCTGGTATGCGTGTCTATGGAGATTTATTTATTTTTTTATTTTTTTATGAAAGGGATTTGTGCATATAAAAAAAAAAACTGCCGTAACGTTTGTTTTTTGACGACTTCATAAAGGGTTATCTTTTTTGTAGGGTATTTAAACTATTTATTTGGGCTATGGATTATGAAAGTTATTATAAAATACAATAAAAGGGAAAAATTGTGTAATTGTAGAAACCTAGAAGACTGCCCATTAGAAAATAAATGCTGCATTAAATCTGTGGTATACCAATGTACTATATCATCCACTGAGAGTCCTAGCACTAATATGATATACATTGGGTCCACGAAGAATGATTTTAAAGATAGATGGAGGCAGCATAAGTGCTCTTTCAATAATATAAATAAAAGAAATCAGACTTCCCTATCTAAATATTTTTGGCATCTGAAGGAAACAAATAGGACACCTAAAGTAAAATGGAAAATTATAAACAGGGCTAGAACATGTAAAACTTGGGATGACCCATGCCCTTTGTGCCTCCATGAAAAATTGCACATTATTAAGCTTCTAAATAATAATAATCTATTAAACAATAGACATGAGTTAACGGTTTTTTGTCGACATCATCAGATTCATGGTTTGAATAATTAGCTAAAAACAAGCATACAATATAATAACTTGATTAATCCATGGCCCAATCATCAGATTCATGGTTTGAATAATTAGCTAAGAACAAGCATACAATATAATAACTTTCATAATCCATAGCCCAAATAAATAGTTTAAATACCCTACAAAAAAGATAACCCTTTTTTTTATATGCACAAATCCCTTTCATAAAAAAAATAAAATAAAAAAAATAAATAAATCTCCATAGACACGCATACCAGACTAGGGTTAATACATCTTCCGTTTCAAATTTAGACACCCCCATTTTTCCCTGACTTGACATCTATGAAAGTAACTCTATACTGATACTTATTATTAACACCCAACACACGCCTACTCAATTTAAACAATTCGCCCTAGCTGTTACCATGGAAATTTTGATTTCAATTATTAAAACACGTAAATTTCAGAAATACGTTATTCCAAA